AGCCCGATGTGGGACTCGATCCCGGGACTCCAGGATCATGACCTGAGCCGAAGGCAGTCGCTTAACCAACTGAGCCACCCAGGCGCCCTGGCTTTTTGATTCTTATATGACATGCACACACAGAAATATTTTACTGTGCTGGGAGTGTATTAATTGCCTCCTTCTCCCTTCTTCCCTTCATCCCCTCTAAATAACAGTAACTTTGTTTAAAAAGTTATGTTGAAACAAAGGCATTTACTCTTAGATTGCTAACCTGAAATGTTATTTTATACAAAGAATGACATTTAAAATACTGACAGTTAAAAGTATTGGGAAATTGCAAAGCTAGACTCAATTGGAAAATTTATTTAACACCACTATAATAAACCTATAGAAATAATTTCTCTGTCAGCCATCCTTAGAATAGTTTTTGTTATGAGATGGTATAATTTGTTTGGGTTTGCTCAGGAAATGGTTATATATTTCTTACAGTAAGAAATTGAGTTCCGTATAAATTACTTTGTCCCTTATCTTATAATACTATATTCAGATACTGTTTTAGTGATAATTTTTTCTGATAGTCTTTGATCTTTGAAACCTTATTGTCAAACTTGTTTTTTTTCTACAGAGACCTCACAAGTTTAGGTCTGTCACTTTTACGTTATTTTTTGTAGACCTTATACTTGAGTTTTTAAATTTTAGATGTTTTTATTTTATTCTCATAAAAGTTGCTCTTGCAGATATAATTGTTTGATCTTTATTCTTTCCTTATTTTCCCCCCAGCTAAAAGAAACAGTCTTGGAGGTGACGTCTTATTTGTGGGGAAACATCACCCACTCCATGACTTCATTTTAGAACTCTACCAGACAGGTTCCACAGAGGTATGTATGGTCTCTTTTTCCATCAAAAAATGCTTTTAGACAGTATAATTATTTGGTTAATTCATCAGAAAAACATTTGTTAAATGTTGATAAAATAGAAACAAGTGGGGCACCTGGGTGGCTTAGTCAGTTAAACATCTGCCTTCATCTCAGGTCATGATCCCGGGGTCCTGGGATTGAGTCCCGTGTCCTGCTCCCTGCTCAGTGGGGAGTCTGCTTCTTCCTCTGCCCCTTACCCCAGCTCGTGTGCGCACGTGCTCTCTCTCTCTCAAAAATAAATAGATAAAATCTTTAAAAAAAAAAAAGGAACAAGTGTACCATTTTAATCTTTAAAAACCATTTAAAAAGTGTATAATTTTGTGGCATTAAATCTATGTACAGTGTTGTGTAGCCATCACCATTATCTGCTTGCAGAACTTACTTATCTTCCCAAACAAACTGGTTATCCCTTAAACAATACATCTCCATTCTCCTCTCCCCTTACTTCTGGTAACCTGTCTTCTACTTTCTGTCTCTGAATTTACCTCTTTGTAAATGGAATAAATGGAATAAATGGAATCTTATAATATTTGTCCTCTTTTGTCTGACTTATTTTACTTAGCATAATGTTTTCAAGGTTCATCCATGTTGTAGCATGTATCAGGGCTTCCTTCCTTTTATGGCCATAGTGTGTATATATGACATTTTCTTTATCCATTCATCTGTTGATGGAACTTGGGTTGTTTCCTCCTCCTGGCTTTTAAGAATAATGCTACTGTGAACATTGGTGTACACGTATATGTGTGAGTCCCTGCTTTCCATTCTTTTGGGTTTATGATCAGGAATGCATTTTTCCACAGCCAGTGGATGTACCACCTGAACTATGTCATGGGATTCAAGGAAAGTTTTCTTTGGATGAAGAAGCTGTTCTTCCAGATCAGTAAGCATTCATTTGTGCACATTGGGGTGACTGGGAGGAAGTTTAACTAGCATTTTTTCCTTGTTGCCTAAATATTTTATTTTCTGGTAATAGTGAGAAAACAAAACAACAGAAAACCTGCTAGACTATAAAAAAGACTTGGGGTCAGAGCCCGCCTCTTCAGCCTAGTAGCTGTGTCACTGTGTTCAGGGCGCCCTCGGGGTCCCTAAAGCCCTTACAGGAGATCCATGAGGTCAAAGCTGTTTTCATAATAATACTAAGTTGCTATGATATTATTTGCTTTTCTCATTCTCTTTCTCTCTTGAGTGTACAGTGGAGTTTTCCAGAAGCTGAATGTAGTGTGATAGCTATCTCAAGAGATTGAATCAGAAGCAGATAAGAGAATCCAGCTATTAAGATAGATATTAAGCCAGATATTAAAGAAATTTTCAAAAATGTAAGACAATGACACTTCTCTTTTTTTTGCTTTGTAAAATAGTTTTTCATAAAAAATGTTATTTATGTTAACATGTAATGGGTTTATTACTGTTACCTTTAAATAAGTATTTTAGAAATTTCTTAGTTTTAATTTTTATTAGTAGATATTGATAGGCATAACCAACATAACCAGAAGCTCTTTGAGGTCCTTGATTTTTAGGAATGTTTTAAAGTGTTTCTGAGATCAGAGTTTGGGAATTGCCGGTCAATTGTATCTTCCTCTTTTGTAGATAATATTGGGTGGTTTTCCAAAGTGATTACACTATTTTGTAATCTCAGTGGCAGTTTGTGAGAGATCTTGTTGCTCTACATTCTTGCAAACCCTTGGAATTGATTGTCATGACCTTAATTTTTGTCAATTTAGTGGATGCTTATTGGCACCCTGTGGCTTACAGTTCCATTTCTCTGATTACTAATGAAATGGAATGCCATATGGTATATTTATTAACCATTTACCATTTGGTTTTCCTCATTTATCAAGTCTTTTTTTATTCTTCTGTTCAGTTATATGTTACCCCCCTGTGCCCCTTTTTGGTTTGTTTGTATCCTTTATAAATTCTGATATGAGCCATTTGCCCATAATAGTTTTCTGTTAAGGAGATTACAAACAAGGAAGACAGGGTCCTTTTTTAAAGATATAATTGGTTATGTCATTTTTGTTGGTATATTTTAATGATTTCTCTTTCCTAAAGCAACATCTTAATTCCACTTATCCAAAAGGTTACAATTTACTCTCTTCTTTCTCTTTAGAATAGTGTGTTCTCCTGTCCCCATGTTACGGGATCTGACACAGAACACTGCAATCAGGTAAGTCTTCCAAAATTCATGTCATTTAACCAAAACACAGCTCTGAACTTGCAAATAAGTTTAAGAAGACCTTTGAATCACAAGGAAATGGCAGCTATTATTCCACCAGTGCTTTGAGATTGGAGAGTCCCTGTGTTGCAGACCTCAGAACACGGCCTCTTGACTTTAAATTATGTATATTGTTAAGTTTACTGATTTAACAAGCTTGCTTCTCTGCTTTCTGGTTTCCCCTGACAACCTCTAATTCTTCCCGGATTAGGAAAGTGGGAGGTAGAAAGTAGGAGTTTCTAGGAGTAGTTTACTATGTAGGAGCAAACAGACCTCTTCACCCCAGAGGCCCACACAGCTTCTCTGTGTTATAACAGATTATTTTCATTATATTTACAGGTGTGGCCCTACAGAGTTGAAAAACAAAACTGTTACATATTTTATTTTGGTTGAGTAGAATGAATTTGTGGAAATGTTTACCAACAATTACTATAAACTAAAATTATATCAAGGGCTAATTTCTGCTACCTGGAAAATGTACTTGTATTTCATTTCTTTTTTTTTTTAGTATTTTTTTTTATTAACATATAATATATTAATTGTTTCAGGGGTGCAGGTCTGTGATTCATCAGTCTTACAAAATACACAGCATTCACCACAACACACGCCCTCCCCAGTGTCCAACACCCAGCCACCCCATCCCTCCCACCCCCCTGTATTTCATTTCTTGCATGATGACAACATTCCATATGTATAAAATATAATGTGACTGTTTAGAATAAAAACCAACATGCTACTCATTTGCTTAATTCTTGTATGTAATTATTAATCTTGATGGCAGGATTTGTGTTACCTTTTTCTTTGTCTGTAGGCAAGACTAAGGCAAACACATCCTAGTAATTCAAGGATTTTGTAAAAGCCTGCTTGGGAAGGCTGTTACTGAATCCTTTTTTCCCAGTCATTCTTATTATTTCTCTTACTCTTGGGAAGTATTTTAGATTTTATTTAGATTTATCATTGTAAAGTGTAAGCATCTTCATTTTCCTATCCTTAATGGATTTAGATAGCAACTGTCACTTTAGAAGGGCTTTTATTTAAAGAAAACTGTCATGAATTTGGAAAATCTTTCTGGATTAGTTGCTTTTATTTATCTTTATACACATTTTTAATTTATCTTTACATGTAATTTGTTCTGGCTCTTTGTCTTTGAGCTCTTCTGTTAAGGGTGGGGTTTAGAATTGTGAGCCAAGCTCTTGCACCCATCACGAACAGTCTGGTTCAGGCACATCCAGTGTGGACACTGTATTAACCGGTGGGGTCTCTGCCTTGCAGCGGTGCTTCAGGCCAGTTAATCCCACCAGTTCTGTCTTTGGATTGTCACATGCTTGCTTGTGCTCCTCAGTTTTTCTGCCTATTTTCAGGGGCCTTTCTGCCCAGCCCTCTAAGAAGTAGTTAATTCTACTTAACTTTCTAATTAGGATAGAAAGACTTGTCCAAGGGAAAAATTACAAAATTGACAAGTCCTTTAGCTTCTGTTTGTATGGTGGTGGTATTGTTGGCTGGTTGGTTCTGAGCCTGAAGAGGCTTTTGATATTATATGGTATCCATTGTGTTCATAAGATTATTAAACTTATAAGACACATCCCAGATCTAGGTGCATATTCAGGTATATGTTGAAAATAACTTCATAATAAAATTGATTTAATTTCCTAGAGATTTGTGAAAGACCACGTTAACTTTTACCTTATGAGCTAATTTTCAGTGTTTCCTCTGAGGGGTAATGAGTTTGATCCAGTTGATTGCCGTTTTTGTGTGTTTGTTTGGGGGCTTGTTTTTCATCCCAATGTTGTGTTTGCTTTATAAATGAAAATCTGAGAGTGCAGGCTCTGGTGCCAGTTGCTGGTCATTTCTATTTTGATTCCTGTCGTTTTTTTCCCTTCTCTGTTTGGATGCATCCAGTATTCCATCCCGTATTTGAGAATTTGTTTCTTCAAGTTGAGTTTAGGTGGGTTTTTTCCATCACATAGGTCTTACCTGTAGTGTTAAAAAGGCATATGATAGAGGTTATTGAAGTGTTTAAGTTCCTAGAAGGAAAAATACAGGCAGCTGTGACCTAGGAGATCTTTTATTTCTCCCAATTCTGATTCCATAAATCAGTCAACATATTAGTAGCTTAACTTTGAATAGAACAGAGCTATCTCCCGTATTTTTCCTCATCCCACTCTTCACCATTGTAATTTGCTTGGACGTAATATCTTTAGACTAATTCTTTGTTAACTTTAAATGTAGGGGTGCCTGGGTGGCTCAGTCGGGTAAGTGTCTGCCTTTGGCTCAGGTCATGATTCCAGGTAGGCTCCCTGCTCAGCAGGGAGTCTCCTCCTCTCTCTCCCTCTGCTCCTCCCCCTGCTTGTGCTCTTCCCTGCCCTCAAATAAATAAATAAATAAAATCTTTAAAAAAAAAACAACTTTAAATATATAAAATCTCATATGATTTTAAAATTAAAGAGAAGTTATCTTCCCACTGCAGCGGCACAATTTTCTATTCATCTGGAGGAGTAGACACACACACACACGCACCATACACCTTTGTTTTACCTCAGACTCAGTGTTCCAGACCTTTGTCCAGTGCTTCTCACCAGTTCTTGTTGATCTCCCGTTTCTGTCCCTCACCATCCTGTTGCCCAGACTTAAATTCTGCTCTCTTACACTGTATGCTTTGGCTTCTCATTCTACCTTAATCCCTATATATACACCACTAGTTCTGGATTTTCTTTTTCCCAGTTTTTTATATCTGGCTCTTCCCAGTGAGCGTGTATTTTGTAGTGATTTTTTTTTTCCCTTCATTTTGTAGTTTCTTCTCCTGAATTACTGTAATGATCTCCCAGCTAATTTATTTGATTCCACCTTCCCACTGAATCTACTGGCATACACTGTGAGGCTTATCTTTGTTAAACACTACCGCTCCTCAGAAATCTTTGCTCTGTAGTGTCAGTGGAATTACACTTCTTTGCTTTTTCAAGGCCTGTCATGGTTTGGCAGAGCCATAGCTCTGTGCCTGAATCCCCACAGTTCCTCAAGGACACCTGCCTCCTCCTTCAACCCAGGCTCTTCTCATCAGTATCCCATTGACCTCTGTGCCTTCCTTCCATTGTTTGGAATGTTCGTTCCTTTGTAGCCTGTCTTTCATAGCTTTTCTTCTCTTCTGAAATGTATAATCTTATATGTTATTTTTATCAGTAGCATTTTAAGTTTTTTGGGGTGTTTTGTATGTTTGTTTTTCCTCATAACACCTGGCATAGTTCTAAACCTGTGTAAAAGCCCAGGTGTTCATAGTGTTCATAGTGTCAAAGCCCAGTGTTTGCCACCATCTTCCAGGAGCCCTTATTCCTTCAGAGGAGTGTTTCTCAGATTTTCTGTGAATCAGGCAAGGAGTAGAATGTTTTTTCTCTTCAAGGAGCTTTTTTAAACGTAACCGTTACTGTAGTATCTGTAAGACTCGTGGTTGGCAAGCAGATAACTTGAAATCAGAAGCCTAGAAGAAGAGGAATACATACAGTCAGTCACAGACTTGATGGTGAAAGCTTTGGGAGGGTTTAATTTCCACCGCTGGGTTAACTTCTTCTGATAGAATGTCTGAAAAGACATCTTAAGTCCTATAAACTCTTTAAGTGCTTTAAAATGTCAAGTATATGAATCAGGAAGTTTTTCTTACAAGAACAGTTTGCATTGGTATGCTGATTTAGCATTAATTAAGGAATATATCAGGGAAAGGTAGAGTAAAAATATGTAACTTGATATTTGGAGTTTCTGCTTTGTGAAGTGTGTTAGCACTCAAACAGTAATAGTACTTAAAATAGCATTTCTAAGGATAATTCTTACAGTGAATTGAGTTGGAAAGGGATGTTGTACATTCCATTCCTTTTCTGTTGAGACTTTGCTATAGTATTTTCTTCTTACTAATGGTGTCTAAAGTGCTACTTGTAATACAAATAAAAGCACTGCTCAGTTTTATTTTCAACCATGCTTAGGTTTATAGTTTTTATATTTTGTCCTTAGTGTGTTTGTGATGACAATTAGGTGATTAAAATAATAGGGAAGTTCCCTACCAAGGGACAGGTCCATTATGCTGCTCCTGGGTGGGCTGGTCTGGTAGATAGAAGCCCAGGCTGGGTAAGTCAGCCCTGTGCCACCTGGAAGAAGTGGTGGAAAATGCTTGTGTTTACAGAGTTAAATGAAGCAGTATACATCTAAGCATAGTTCTCTTACCTCACAGGGGCCACCTGTTGAATCTATAAGCTGTTCTGTTAACTCATTTCCTCCCTGAAGGTGCTTCTGTCTTTTTTTTTTTAAGATTTTTGAAATTTATTTGACAGAGAGAGAGTGAGAGAGGGAGTACAGGCAGGGGGAGTGGGAGAGGGGAAGCAGGCTTCCCACTGAGCAGGGAGCCCGATGCGGGGCTCCATCCCAGGACTCTGGGATCATGACCTGAGCCAAAGGCATACGCTTAACAACAGAGCCACCCAGGCGCCCCTGAAGGTGCTTCTGTCTTATCTCAGTGTTACTGCTTTCCCTCCCCTGACGTGCTCCACAGTAAGCTCTTTTGTTTCTGGTGGTAGAAATTTGCCAAAGAGTAATCCGTTTTTCTTCTTTATTATTTCTAGTTTTATTATAATAACATTATTTCTGTTACTTTAGTTTCTCTGTTTATAAGAATTTTAATTACATAAACCTGAGAAAAATGAAGGAACTTTGAAAGCTTGGATTAAAGTTTCCCTTTGGGACTAATGGGCTCCTGCCTGGTTTATGTATTTCAGTTTTTGGAGAGGTTTGTTTAAGTTGTGGCTGGTGTTTCACGTTGGAAAAGTATAGTTGAGTTGTGCTTTTCTTTTGTTCTTTATTTTCTAAAAATATAATAGTTCTTAGTATATATTTTTGGGAACAAATTACTAAAAAAAACTCTCAACCAGTGAAAGCTTAACTCATTTTAGGAGAGAATAAGTCTTCAAATTGTTCTCAAAGATCCAAGGGAAAAGAATGCTTTAATCTTTGAGATCAAAAATAGTATCGCTTGTCCCTTCAGTAGGGACCTCCAAGCTTATTTTTAGATGCTCCTTTTTTGTCTCCTAATGGTTTGTTCCCTAAGAAGTATATAGATCACTCTGTTGAGTTTAGTTCTGAGGGTAAGTAGGAGAGATGTTCGAGATTTTTTTCCTATTATCTTGGAAATTTTTTGCCTTTCAGAACATGAGCATGAATGATGGAATTTTTAAAGCAGTTTTATTGAGGAACAAGTGACAGTAAACTGCACATATTTCATAAATAAATGGGTTTTCTCAAACACTGGTTTCAGCTGTCTTATTATGTCTCTTGTAACCATTGTCCTTCTGGAGAGATTATCCCTGTGAACCTGGGGTTATCTCTTCTGCCTGGGAACTAATTACCTTGGCTGTTTCCTTCATTTAGTTTCCATCTTTCTGTACATGACTTGCAGATTTTCATCTCAAACCCTATCGGAATGTGATCTTCATTCCAGTTCCAGCCCTGCCATTTCTTTTGCCTGCTCAGCATTCCCACCTCCAGCACATATTGAAGGCCCTTACCTAGACTGTGTCAGTGATCTTCTTTTGGTTCTCTCCCTCTGCTCTCTTACACACTGCTGCCAGGAGGTTCTTTTTGAATTGCATTCTTGATCATATTTACTCGCTCACTGACTGACTCCCTGAAGTGATTTCATGTTGTGGTCAGAACAGGCCCTCAATGACATTAACCCAGTTTGATCAGCCTGTGTTCCTGCTCACTTCTGTTCATAAACTTGCTCGGTCTAATCTAGCTCTTCTCAACTGAGGTACCACTTGGGAGTTAAGGCTTGAGAACTTGGGGTGCCTGGGTAGCTTGGTTGAGCAACCAACTCTTGATCTCGGCTCAGATCTTGATTTCAGGGTTGTAAGTTCAACTCCTATGTTGGGCTCCATACCCAAACTCCACGCCCAGCTCCACTTAAATTAATTAAAAAAAAATAAATAAAGGCCTGGGTGCCTGGGTGGCTCAGTCGATTTGAGTGTGTCTGCCTTTGGCTCAGGTCAGGATCCTGGAATCCCAGGATCGGTTCCTGCATCGGGCTCCCTGCTCCACAAGGAGTCTGCTTCTCCCTCTGACCCTTCCTCCTCTTGTGCTCTCTCTCCCTCTCAAATAAATAAAATCTTTAAATAAATACAAATTTTTTAAAAAGGCCTGAGAACTTCAAGCATTCATTGCATGTAACCAGTCGATTTGTGTCCTGCTCCTTTAGAATAGGACTAGTTATGTGTCTTTCTTAGGAGAATTGAGGATGTAATCACTCAGATCATTTGTATAAGGCTTACTTCTCTCCCAGATCCCCATTGAGAAGGCTACTCCAATTAAACTGAGCTATTCTTTGGTTCTAGAACCCCTTTCCATGTCTTGGTTACATTTATTTCCTCTCCCATTCTGTAACCAGTCCTGTCCCACTTTATATCATGGCCTCTTGGATGGATGATGGTTTCCTTGGTCCCAGGTGAAAGAATCCTCTTCCCTCTCCCCCATACACACATGCTTTTATCCCACGTTCACAAAGACATGTGTGGAAGGTATGTACACACACATGCTTTGACTCAGCATCTTTTCTGTGTCTATTATTGTCTTTTCCTCTTTCTTATGAAAATGTTATTAAATATTTCCCATTTCCTTTATCAGAAGGGGAGGCAAGCTTAATACCTGGCCAGTATTTGTACCCCCATGCCCACCCTGAGACTGTTTATGCCATGGGAACTCTTAAAGTTTGTTTGGTAAACTGCTGAAAAGCCCTGCTAACACAAAGATAACTGTTTTGAGACATTCTAGTTGCACGTCTTGCTTTATTACTGATTTTCTCTCTTTGTATCTGGAAGACCCTAATGAACCCCTATACTTAACTACCATTTTCTTTGTCACCCTTTTAAACCTGTGACACTGCCCTAAGCCACTTTGCCCAGTAGAGAACATTTGAGATAAAGACGGTTGCCAGTGAAGAGTGAGTTGTAAGAGGAATGGATTCAGTAAATGAAGTATTGTTCAGCTGCTCTTGAGATCATTTTTATTATAAATGAAGTTATTTTTGTGTACTTAAAATATACTGTTAAATCCCAGTGCAATGAAAATAGGCCCTAATAATTTAAAGTGGCAGTATTTGAAGACAAAAAAGTTAGCTGTCTAAAATGTCAACCACTTCAATAAAACCTTAAATAAAACAGTTTTCAATTGTAATCATGGAGGAATTTTAGAAAATATTTAAAAAGCACAAAGAAGGAAAGGAGACAGTTATACAGAGAATATCACTGATAACTTTTTGACGAATATATATCTGGTCTGTTTTATATGTATTTTCCCCATGTCAGTTGGTATTCTATTACTATATTTTTTGAAATGTCAATTGAGGATTCCATTTTTAGGGAGAACCATAGTTTCTTTAACCAATTCACTATTAGTCATACACTTAGGTTTTAGTTTTTCAGCATGAATACAAATGTCGTGAGCATCCTTAGGTATAAACTTGGTACAGATCCAGAGTCCTAGAAAGAGGCATTGCTATATCAAAAGGAAAACTTAAATGGACACACAAACCCCACCAGAAAGGAAGCTTGATCCAGCTTATACTCAACAGTCTGAGTGTACAGACTTATAAAATAAAATAAGCCTTCTGTGTAGTTTTCAAATTGTGACTGTTGCTGATACAGGAGAAACATTAAGAGAGCATGATATAGGGCTCCAACTGGGAAATTTAATGTTTTTTTCCCCATAGATTATTTGTGTTCACTTTCTGATTTTGCAAGTGTTTCTAGTAGTGTTTGCATCTTTTCTTTCTTGCAACAAGAACTAATTTTCCCTAAGATGCTGGAGGGTAAGTCTTTGCCCCATATGAAACAAAATGAAAGGTGGTTTTTTTTTTATTTATTTTTTGTTGTTGTAAATCTCTTCCACCTGTCTCCAGTATCCTGTTGGAATTTCTTGAGATTTGAAGCAGTGTCTGTTTCTTCTCTCTGATCACCTACAGTTAGTTAGAGCATGGCTTTTCCCACAGAGAAAATTACATGAAGGCTGTGTACTAGGAATTAGCAGCAGTTTGGTGAAAAAGATATTTAGCTATTTGGTGAAATTTTTGGAGAAGACTTTTGGAATTTTAGTTACTCTTTTTAAACATGAAATGTACCTCAGTTTACCTAATAGTTGAACCAAGGTAACATAATAAAGTCATTAAATTGTATGTTGCTCTCTTCTAGTATTAATTTTAAAGACCCACAGTTTGCTGAAGACTACATTTTTAAAGCTGTAATGCTTCCAGGAGCAAGGTAACAATAATGTGGCTATAAAATATGAACTATCTAGTTTTATTTTGTATGAACAATGTTAATCCCAGTACTAAATAATTGTATTTTCAAATGGTCAGAAAACCAGCACCAGTACTGAAACCTAGTGACTGGGAAAAGTCCAGCAATGGACGGCAGTGGAAGCCCCAGCTTGGCTTTAATCGGGACCGGCGGCCTGTCCACCTGGATCAGGCTGCATTCAGGACTTTGGGGTGAGTGGTAGGTTGCTATACTTTGTGTGTTTTGCTTTTTCTGAATCAGTCACAAGGATTCAGTCAGTATTTATGCTACAAATATTTAAGAGACCATTAAATGAAACTATTTGGCAAATATTTTAATGACTTTGATACTGTTATGCTCTTCATTTTTAAAATTCACTTCTGTTTCTTTGTGTTATGCTTTATGTGTTGTTTGAGAATTCTGTTATTTTCTCTTAAAAGGTTCTCCTATCTTCCTGATAGATCTTTCAAAGGAATAAAACATTCTCTTTACCTTCCAGAAAGTTTTAGCTGAATTAATGTATGGCAGAATCTGTTTAAAGTGTTAATCAGTACATTACAATATATGATACATAGTACATAGCAAGTACAAAATACAATATATGATCAGTACATGAAGATAACTCTTAACTTTGATCCATATTCCTGCTTCTTGGAATTTATCTTGAGAAAATAATTTTAGAGGAGCATAAAGTTATATGCCTAAATCTATAGTGCATTGTTACCAATAATAGTAGTACTAAATGAGAGGAATGGTTTGGTTTAATAAAATAAGAGATGTCACCTGGTAAAGTACTCTATAGGTATACATACTATAATTATGAAGACTATGAAAAATATAGGGAAATGTTTGATAGAATTGAAAACAGCAAGGTATAGAGCAGAAGTATAGTGATAGCAACAGCATGAGTTGTTGAGGGCAAAACTGAAATATGATACAAAAAAGAAAAGTAGACTCTTTACATGAAGTAATTAATTACTACTTAAGTAATTATCAATTAAGAATCTTGGTGTGGCAATGAATATACGCTATCACCCTTACCATTGGTACTGTTTTGAACTTTGTTAATCATAAATCTTTTAAGTTTGTATTATCTTAATCAGATCTAGTAGTAAAGAGACAACTACTAGCCTTTAATTTATATCAGCTGTGATGTGATGGGTCTGTCTATAAATTTTTTTCTGGTTGCTGGGGTCTTTTTATAGCCATGTTATGCCAAGAGGCTCAGGGGCTGGCATTTACGGCAATGCTGCACCACCACCTGCAACTTACCAGGGGAACTTATACAGGCCACTGTTGAGAGGACAAGCCCAGATTCCAAAACTTATGTCAAGTAAGTTTTTACAAATTGATTATTTGACATGCTAAGTTAAATATTACAACAAAGGTTGGTTTCTAATCTCATTGCTAAAAAGATATATTTTAGCAGGGCAGAGATAGTGGACTTAAAAACATAATTTAGAAGAATTATAAGAGAATGTAAAGTCTTTCAGATACTTTTATCTTCGCTGTATATAGTTAATTGAATAATATGAATTGGATTTCTTATTTTCATCTATAAATCTGCTATAGTGAACATATGCAGAAGGAGGTGTGTAGAGTGAATTGCTGTTTATTAATACAAGTATTGGGGCAGTTAAATGAGGTGCAGTAGATGGAGAATTGCAACCTCTTAATCAGTTGAAAGACAACAGTATCCCTTTCATGATGCACATTGTAGCTCAGGACTACTTAAGATAAAGCCAGGCATTGCTTTAGGGAGGAATGCTCCTTTAATTCTGTGGTTCTATGAAAGTCTTGGCCTTTCCCTGACCCCTTGTAACCTGTTTTGTGGATAGAAGTGGTTCAGAAATGTTACCCATTGAAAATAATTACATGGCATTTGGATTACAGTGGAAAAGAAGAAGAGTTAAATGTTAGACTTTTCATAGATATTGTATTCATTTTAAATTGTGTCCCCATTTTGTTATTTTTTGAGTTCTATGGCTGTGTTCAAGTCATGCGCCGGGTTTTCAAAACCATCTTCTTCATAAAGCCTTTGCTTCTCCATTCCTGGTTATCTGGTTGCTACCCAACCAAACCAGGACAGCATGGCGGGTGGGGGAGACACAACACGTGACTGTGGCAAGATGCTAAACATTTGTTAAATCTAAGTGTTGCTTTATTAAGTGTCTTTCTGATTGTTGGAAATATTTCATGCAAATTAAATTAACAAAAACAGAGGGGGCTTTTCTGAGAAAGCTTTTTAAACCAAAGTTGTAGTTGTCAAAAAAAAAAAATACCAGATAAATGTGAAGATTGTTGGGAAGTATTTACCCTATGTGCCTACCACTGTTTTCATGCTAATAAGTTACAAACCCTTTTTTTTTTTTTTTTTTTAACAACCTGAAGCCCACCAGATTTTCTTGGTACAATACCCAGGAAGAAATGTGTTCTGAAAGTCTCATTCTCTTTCAGAGCCCTCTCTTTTCACTGTATTCTGTCTGTCTGTCTCAGTTTCTGTCTTTCTCTCTTTGGCTTTATGACATTGAATGGAACATTATTAAGACTCCATGAGAACTATGGAGTTCAGCGGTATTTATTCTATTTAGTGAAACACAGAAAAGGGCACAGAGTTTAATGGGCCTTGTGGGGATTTGCTTGGTGCAGTAGTTTACTTAGCTGCTTTCCCCCCAAGATTAAGCAAATAACATTTCTGAGTATTTCCATATATATAATATCAAGCCATGCCACATACAACAAAGTCTTAACGACTTTGAAAGAGCTACCTGTGCCCTGACATTTTACTAGTAAATGGTGAAAGCATATCCAGCTTATTGATAAAGCCAGCTGTTTATTGACACATTCCTTATCAGTTCCTTTTTTATGGCTCTTCACCATGTACTTCTATCCATAATGGTATCATAGCTTCCAAATAGGAAGAAAAAAAAATTGAGATGCAGAATGCTAGAACCAAGTATAATCTCTGTGCCTTAAGTTAGCTGGTATTTCTCAAGATGGTGGTTATGAGGCATTTCTGAGGTTGTTGCATTGAGTAAACTTGGAGAAATTTGGAAAGAGGTTTTAGCAGGAAAGGTGAAAGCATGTGTTCTACATTACATAGCTTCTTTCCATTTCATGTTTCCTAAGGCCCAGTCACTGGGCCTGCTGCCACCATCATCTGTCCAGATTTTCACCCAGACAGCTACTTAAAACCTTTTAAAAACCTCTTTTCCCCCACTTAAATTGATTTATCTTAAATATAAGATTATATCAAAAGTATATGACAGTATGAGTTTGATGTGCTTGTTGTATTTTTTCAAATATACATAAAAATAAATACATAACCATGAAGATAAAAGGCTTGTCCATAGTCCCCAGAAACTGATCTTATGTACCACCTGTGGTATGCATACCACTCTTTGGGAAATATTCCCTAGATTTTCTAGGGAATCATAGACCCATATGAGAATCTATAAAAACCATGGACTGCCTTCACGAAAATCACTCACTCATTGTGGCGTTCATGTGAATCCAAGTGCTTCATTCTCAGGTCCCCTTCCATCCTCAGGATCCATCTCCAACAGTAAGAGTAAGAAGGAAATCAGGAAGGTCTTTTATTTATCAAGGTCACACCAGAGGTAAAGAATTTCATGTCTTTCACGGCCTATAATTTTATAGTTCTTAAATTTGTCTTCTTTATAAACAGTCAACTCTTAATCAGCATCTTTGCATTTTATTTCAAGTAGTGGGGTCACCTCTCCCTTTTTATTACCTTGAGTAACTCATTTGCCGTTGTTACAGGTCTTACGAGTGACTTTAATTAGAATCTGTTCCAGTCAGAGTCTCTATTTTAATTACGTCATTAAAAAATAGGGGATACATTTTGTAAAGTAGGGATTGACTTATAGTAAGAAATAAGTGTCCTTCCCTGCATGGTGACTTGTAAACATTGCGCCACCTGAGCATTAGTGCTGGGACTTTCAAAGGGAATGGGAATGGTAGGAATGAAAAAGTTTATGGGGACAAATCAACAAGAATGTGCTGTCCAAATTGAGCCTACGGAGGGGAATTTGGGATACTCTGGGTTGAGAAAAAAAAAAAGTGTGAAATAAATGGCAAAAAGTCAGGTGGTATTAAGCTTAGAATAACTGGTACAAAATTATGGGAGCATAAATAGGAACCAATTATGAGGGTGGGAAGGCTGATTTTTTTCCTCCATATTTTTAGTGACATTTTAAATGGATTTTAACCATAATACATGTTAAATAAAACATGGCAGATAATAAAACATAAACACCCATAATCCCACTGTCCTGCAATAAAGCAGTAGTAGAATTGCAAGGCTAGGGTCATGTTCATGTTCAGCTTTTGTGAATAGAAATGCCAGACACATTTCCCAAGTTACATTCAGTTTATACCAATTTACATTCCTTTAGCAGTGCAGGGAAGGTCCAGTTGCTCCACATCCTCACCAACACTTGGTATTGTCAGTCTTTACACTTATAGCCATTCTACTGGATGGGTAGTGGTCTCCCGCTGACATTTAATTAGCATTTTCTTGATGCTCTAGTTGAGCTTTATTTTTTTGTGATGCGCCTGTTTGAGCCTTGTGTCTTTTTTCCTACCGAGTTGTCTCCGTTCTTGTTGCTTTCTTAGGGGTTCTGTAAAAGAATTCTGGTTATGAGATTTTTTTTTTATTGGAAGTACCTTTTTCCTTTCCTTTTTCCACTTAATAGCTTGCATTTTCACTTTAATTGGTGCCATGTGAGGTTTATGCCGACATTTGGGGACTGTGGGTAAAGATGTGGGAATTCTTTGTGCTCTTCTTGTAGCTTTTCTATAAGGCTTGAAATCCTCACAACAAAAAATTGAGGACTAAAATATTCATCGATATTTGATGTGTGTTGATTTTTTAAAGATTTTATTTGAGAGAGAGAGCACAGGAGGGGGGAGGGTCAGAGGGAGAAGCAGACTCCCTGCTGAGCAGGAAGCCCGATGCAGGACTTGATCCCAGGACTCCAGGATTATGACTTGAGCTGAAGGCAGTTGCTTAACCACCTGAGCCACCCAGGCACCCCTGTGTTGATGTTTTTAGTAATATTTTAAATGTCATTTTCCAGTTGCTTGCTTGTATGTAGAAATAGATTTTTGCATATTGACTTTGTAGCTAACGACCTTACTAAATTCATTTGTTCTGAATTTTTTGCCTACACAGTCATGTCATCTGCAAGTGATGACAGTTTTGTTTATTGACTTTCTAACTCTAATGCCCTTTGGTCTTTTTGCTTTATTGCCCTGACTAGGACCTCTAATGTGATTGGTTAGAAGGGGTGATGGTGGACATCTTTGTTTCATTCCTAGTCTTAAGGAGAAAACTTGTAATATTTCACCCATTAAATAAGATGTTTGCTGTAGTTTTTTTTTTCTTTTAGATAAGAAATACTGAGGAAGTTTCCTTCTGTTTCTTGTTTCTAGTGGGTATTAAATTTTATCAAATGCTTTTCCTCTGTCTGTTGAGATGGTAATAGTGTTTTGTTTTTCTTTCCTTCTGTTATGTGATTAAACCAACCTGGCATTATTGGAATAAGCCTAATTCAGTGTGATAATAGCATTCCTTTTTATATGCCACTACCTTCTGTGTGTCAATATGTTGTAGGGTATTTTTCATCTGCGTACTATGAGAGATTAGCTTATGACTTTGATTTCTTTGTACATTCTGGCCTCATAAAACAAGTTAGAAATTGTTTCCTACATTTCTGTTCTCCCTAGGGGTTACTATAAGATCATTGTTATATCTTAATCCCGTAGAATTCAGTGGTAAAGCTGTAAAGCCATATGGGCCTAGCAATTTCTTCATGAGAAGGTTTTTAATTATAGATTCAAATTAAGTAGATGTAGGTTATTCTGATGATTTGTTACTTGTCTTGGTTTTGCTAATTTCCCTTTTTTTGTAGGAATTTGTTCATTTATTCTGAAATTTCACATTCATTGCCAGAATTCTCTTAATATCATGGTATGTTCTTACGTCTTTTTAATGACTGTAAAACTTTAAAAACTAATTTATGGTATTGGTAATGTATAGTATTGCTTCTTGATTATTGTTGCTAGGGCCCATTTAATTTTATGTTTTATTATCATTTTTTAATTCTTATTTATTTTTTTAAAGTAATCTGTACCCCCAACTTATGGGGCTCAAACTCATGACCCCAAGATCAAGAATTGTAAGCTCTGGGCACCTGGGTGGCTCAGTCAGTTAAGCGTCTATCTTCAGCTCAGGTCATGATCCCAGGGTCCTGGATCGAGTTCTGCATTGGGCTCCCTGCTCAGTGGGGAGTCTGCTTCTCCCTCTAC